TGCAGGTTTTGAATGGTTTCCAGTGCTGTGTCAATCCTATTTGATTGTTCCTGCAGTACTTTCCTTACTTTTTTATTTTCCTTGACCCCTTTTTGAAGTATTTGAATTTGTTTCCATATCATTCTTCTGAATTCCCTCTCAGGCATATCCAGACCCCACTCTTTCTCCTCTATAAAACCTTTGTCTGTCTCCAGCTCATTTGCATCAGCTGCTCTCTTCTGTTTTTGTACGTGTTTCAGTAATGTTAGTTTTGTTTCTTTTTGGTCATGGTTGTTATTATTTTATTATTAATATGATCAGGAGATAGGCTTCCCTTATCGTCTGTAATGCGTAGCAGGTGTTGTTAGGTCTTGTCGTAGTGGTGGAGTATTCTTGTGTATGGTTACAGCTTGGCTATGTGGGCACGATTGTTGTTGCTTCTTAGGTGACGTAGGGAGGAAAAGCTCTCACTTCCAGGAAAGATGTGTGATCAAAAGGACCAAAAGCAGAAGTAACATAAACGCATGGACAGAAATCACCACTTGGGAGTAGAGCTGCAGCTTTTGTCAACTTTCCCATGCTACACCATCAGTGTGTGTGCAAATAGAAGCCTCCATCAGGGGTGGGGGTGACCCCTCTTTCAGGCCTCTCCTCTAGCCACTGCCATATAGGTGGGCAGATACATATTGGGGAGTTAATGGTAGAAAGATCGACTGCTTATTTTTGTCTCTGGTTGTCAGTTATCTGCATGTACTCAGCGCCAATCTTGGGATGGTTGAGACCTGTTCTGTTGGGGTTTTATAGATTGCCTTGAGTTTGTCCTGCACAGTGAACTCAGGCAGCAGCCCAGCCGTGGGTTGCAAGGTTGATAGCTGCCCCTCAGCTCCCTTGGCTGCAGGTCTTCTTGGGAGAAGGCTGTGTGTCCCGCCAGAATTGTAGCTGAAAGTTCCACGCTGCTACCTGGGAGTCAGGCGGTGTGCTCTGACCAGCTCAGATATATGGCTTCAGATTTGGGGCCGGGGGCAGATGTCAAAAGCCACCGCCCCTCTCTTTCTCTTTGTGCCGTGGGTAAACTGTCCTGCCTGATGTCCGAGCTGAGATCTTAAGCTGTGGCAGTGAGATTTTGGGGAAGAGTTGTGCAGCTTTTTGTGGATTTGTTTGTTTAGGATTTTTGTGTGTGTGTGTTTGCTTGAAAAGCCGCTTTATGAATGGGTTAGCTTTAGCCCCGTTCTCTAAAACTCTGCAGGGGCGGGGTAGTTGCCGGAGCAGTCCCACAGCAGCAAGTCTTAAGATGCCCATATTTTTCTTAGTGGCATGATTTTTTTCAAAAATGCGAGTTGGGGAGATTAGAGTACTAGATTTTATGCTAGTTTGGAAGCTGTGGGTTTGCTATATGAACATTTCCTTCGTGAGATCTCCCTCCATTCTCACCAGCGGAGTGTTCCCTACCTGGCTCCTCTGGCTGCAGCCCGGAACTGGAAGTCCTCAGTGCTATTAACTCTTGATGCATGCAGGGGATTGCAGCTGTGTAATAAAGCAAAGTATATGACTTGTTGAAAACCCATGATTTGCTTTGTAATTAATTCACTCAATTCACAATAAATGGTTAAAAAAAAAAAGTCTTTTACAGTAGACTTTTTAAAAAGCTCTTTCTCATTGTGATTAAGAAACTAGTATAGAACAAACAGCAAATAAACATTACGGCTACTTGGAACTATATGGCTACTGAATTAAAATGCAGTTTATTCATTATAAGTGTCGATTTTTTTTTTTTTTGATTTCTGCAGTAGGAATTTTATATTAAATACTGAATTTCTTCCAGTGATTAAAAAAAATCATGGATAGCTCCTCCAGGTGCTGGTTTGAGTTATAGAGTCCCTCTTACTCCTAGGCTTCCACATCCCCTAGGGGCTTTGTCAGCATCCACGTGACCAGGTTTAGAGCACCCCCTCCATGTTCTCAATGGTGGATGATCAAGCATATGGAAGAGGAGGCACGTACTCTTGAAACTGACAGAAAGGAACATTGTCACTGTTGCTCATTCATGTCTACTACAGCAGAGGCTGGGGCATAAAGTCCAACTGTATGCCCAGAGAGATGCCCTGGTAGCACAGTGGTTAAAGTACTCTACTGTTAACCAGTACTCACCAGCTGCTCTGTGGGAGAAAGATGTGCCAGTCTTGCTTCTATAAAGATTTACAGTCTTGGAAACCCTCTGGTGGGGCAGTTCTGTCCTATAGGCTCACTATGAACCCAAATTAGGCATCCGGTTTGGTCTTGCTGATCATGCGCCTAGGAAGAATTAGAGAACAGATTTTTAGGGCCATCCAGTTGTTTCTGCCACGATTAACATAAAAACCATGTGTAGAATCTTTTGTGGAGAAAATTCTAAACACTTTATTGGAAAGAAATACCATGTTCATGAATATGTAGGTTCCATGTCAGAGATGCTGTTGATAATCCACAACTTAGTGACCCCTGTAGCGGGTGTCCGACAGGTAGCTGGTTGGTTTGAACTGCCTACCTTATCCTGCAGTGCCACACTAAATGCTAATTCTATCCAAATTAGTGTATGAATCCAAAGTAAATCCAGTCAACACTCCACATGAATTTTTTCATGGACTTTCTCAAGCTGATATTGGAATCCTTATAGCAAAGCAGACCGTTAAAGTCCTGAGAAAGGTGAGCAAAGTGGAAGAACATTTATATCACATCAAAATAGCCAGTTTTGTTAAGGTAGGTTGGGATATTTAGATTTTCAAAATAAAATTAGCGATCAGAAACAGATTCACTTATATATGCATTCCAGATTTTTATGATTTTGTGAGTAAAGGTAAACATTAAAATGTGCATAGGAAAATAGGTATTACAAATGGGGAGAACATTTATTGCATACATGACACTCACTACACACAGAATAAAGCATGCACTTTTTCCTAAGTTGGGAGAGAAAAAAGAAGTAAAACCAGAGAAAATATTTGGGGCTGTTTGTATAGTGAGGAATAAGGAAAGATCATTATTCTACAGAAGACACTTAGTGCACAAAGTGAAGGAAGAAGCCAATAAATTTGGTTCATCAAAAGGTACCGTGAAAACAAGTTAGAATCAGCAGGTCCATTTCCACCATGGCTGTAGAACAACAGTGAAAACCTAGCAGATCAAGTACATAAGCATGAGTGTTTTCAGCCCAACAGAGACTGAGGTTGCTCTGGCTAGTGTGTAGCTTGAAATTCAAGTACAGACAGTTCCTGCCAAGGAAAGGGTATTAGCTCCCTTGGGTAGAGCCCAGGAGAAAGACACATGTATAATAAGAATACAACTAAAACCAAAAAGGAGTTTTCTAAACAAATTGCTAATGACCTTGGCTAGCTTGGTAGCGTAGGTCTCCAGTGAACTGTAGACACGGAGGAGTTTGCACGCACTCACAGATTCTTCACAGATGTACCGGGCGCTCATGCGGTAGGCTAGGGTGGGGCAGGAGGCTGGAGAGAGTCCCTGAAGAGGTTCAGCACTGGAGAAAGAGAACAGCCTTAGCTGCTGGAAGGGCAGGAAGCTGCCCTGCCAAGACTCTTGTCCTGCAGTCAGTAAAGTAGTAAGGCTTTAGGTGGAGGATCATCCAATTCTGCTACCCAGGGAAATGGCTGGGCTATGGATAAAAAACCCTCTAGCCCTGGGCCCCATGTTGTGGGATGGCTTCATTGACACAGTGCCCCCACAACTCCCAATAAGCCCCTTGCTTGGTTTACTGCTTTGCTGCCTTTTAATCTTGAAGTTCCTAATAATTATTTAATTCTAATTTTTTTTTTGCTATAAATTCTTAGGGTAAACAAACTTGTCCATAATTATTGTTCCCTGTATTTTTTTTTTTTTTTCATGAGAAGTTTTTAATGTTCCTCAAGGAAGAGAGACATCTAAAGATGAGGGTAGAAATTCAAAAGTTCTAGGTTACTAGGTTCATAAACAATGCTGAAGAGAAATGGCAAATAGCAAAATCTGTATATCTATACACACACACACACACATATATATATATATAAAACCCTAGAGAAAGTGAGTAATTACTTCAATTTAAGTCCGTGAGTTACACGCTTGATATGCTACTCCACGATATCTTAAAGTATTGTAATAACTTAACCCATGCTAAAGATTATCAAATCACACTGAAAACATTTTTAAATCTCAAATGATTAACTTGAAAATTTTAAATGCATATATTTACATATATTATTGTTATTGTTAAGTGCTGTCAAGTTGGCTCCAACTCACAGCACCCTGAACAGTCTCTAAGGAATGGCTGGGGAGCTTGAGCTGCTGCCCTTGCTGCTCAAACTGACCTGGCAGTCCAGCACTCCCTGTATTTCTTAAATAACTAACCAATCACACCAGTTAGTACCATCTCAAATCATTACTGTTGAGCTCGGTTTTTAATTGTGAGGTAATTTTAAGAATAATAGAGATCCCATGTACCCTTCACCCAGTGAAACTATGTTACAATTTCACAGCCAGTAAAGTGGCATTGATGTACTCTCCCGACCTTACTCAGATGTCACCAGATTTCTAAACAAACCACTGCTTTTGAGTCTGTTCCAACTCCTAGCAACCCTGTGTAGGGTTTCTGAGTGTGTAAATCTTTATGGGAGCAGACGGCATCTTTTTCCTTTGGTGAAACTGCTGGTGGGTTTAAACTGCCAATATGGTTAGTTTTAGCAGTGCAAAGGTTAACCCTCGGTACCACTGGTACTCCTTGACCAGTTTCACATGATGTTGTGTGAGTGTGTGTTTAGGGTATGTATTTGGTATTAGTATGTGCAGCTAGTGTATTTGTATGTACTTTCATATAACCATCTGCATGGTTACAATATACAAATCAGTATAAAAACCAGTATGTACAACAAATCCATCACACAGATTCCTCTTGCTATCATGGCTACTCCCTCCCACCCAGACTCTTTCTTTAGGGAAAAATGAAGACCTCAATACATGGAAAAAATCATGGTCATTTCTCACAACTGTCTTTATAGGATTTCATTGTATGGCTGCATGCTGGAGATTAAGGACCTCAGAACTTTTGCTGATAGAACTTCAGTTGTAGATGCAGTTGGAATTAGTCGGTTCAGGGTCTTAAGACACTGTCGTAAAGATGGTTATAGCACTGCAGATGTTGAGTATCTTGAAGACATAAAGGTAATGTCTATTTTTACTGATATATATAATAGGAGTGAAGTCATCTTACCTTGGCATTATGGAAAAATGCCAGTTCTGTCTATACTGTTTTCTCAATGCATCATTTTTAAATATTATTATTTAAGTGGATCTTTTTTTTTTTTTTTTTTTAACTGAGCTGGAGCTGTTGGGGAAAGTCTCTAGTTTAAAAAAAAAAAAAAAAAAAAAAAATTACCATCCTTAGGGAACATGTCAGTCTAACATTTCAGAATGAGTTATGTGAATGACTGGTTCGGTAATTACTTCAGGGGCCTCCATACTTTGCGTAAAGGGGAAGGTATTAGGCATTGTGGCCCATATGGTCTCTGTTACAACTATACAACTGTGCTATTTTAAGGCAAATGGAACCACACAATATTATGTTAAAGGGGTTTAAGAATCTTTAGATGATGGGAATGCTCTCTGTCTCGTTTAGAATAATGTTTACATGGATTACAGTTGGCAGAACTGTTTGAATTGACACGATTTGTATCTGACCTTTATGCCATAGCTAATGGTGAATTGTTAAAATGAATGCCCTGTTTTCCTTGACAAGGTGAAGGGCCCAGAGTATGAAGAACTCGCCACTCTTCATGACTCAGTTTATCAGCAATCTGTTTCCTGGTTTGCTGCTCTTCAGGATGACATCAAAGAAAAAATTTCAAGTCACTTTGGGTTAATGCCAGAGAGAGAATCTGAACCACAGGTACACTACCCCTTTTTTCTTTGGTAATGCTATTATTCTGCTGTGTGCTAAACATTCTGAAGGGAAATTTGGCAGTTGTACATTCAGTATTCCATTGTGATGACTCAAGAAAGATCTAATATAATGCATGTTCCTTTTGAAACAAAATTTCAAAGTATTCTCTAATGAGTACACAACAATAGTTTTCTACCAAAAATGTACTCTGAGTGGTTGCCAGATTTTGTCCTTTCACTTAATCCAGCAACAGCTCTGCCTCGGTATGACCCTCCACCTTTCTATGGGCTCATCTCCCTCTGATCATGGAGGGGAACGGGTCTTTCATGTGAGAGGCCTGTGTGATTATTGACAGGACTCAGCCGGACAATCCAGGATGATCCAACCCCCCATCTCAGTGTCCTTAACTTAACCACACTGGCAGAGTCCTTTTGCCATGTAAGGTAATATTCACAGGCTCCAGTTTTCCAAGATTTGGGTATTGAGAACTTTGTTGTTATTAAATGCCACACTTGGACTCCGTGGGCAACTTGTGAGGGATCAGTTTTCTTACCACAGTAGGGTTTAGAAACTATGTGAGAAATATAATTATGCTGAGGGTCTTACTACTCGGTCATGCTGCTGAGCTTTTCTCTTTATAAAATGAGGCTTGTTGTTAAGTGCTGTAGAGCCGGTTCCGACTCATGGTGACACTGGATAGGGTTTCTGAGGAGCAGCTGGTGAGCTTCAACTGCCGACCTTGGGTTCGTTCATACAGACTTTGCAGTCCAGTGCATTAACCCACAGCACCACACCAGGACTCCGAAAATGAGGCTAGTACCCTGGATAATCGTCTAAACCCTAAACTAAATGTATTCCCTAAAGTCTTTTTCAAATGAAACAATTGTAAAGCTGCACTTGTAAAATGTGTGCCTTGAGCATTTTGCTTCTTTTAAGAACTTTTCTATGTGGGACGAAAGTGACAGCAGCAACTTGTAAAGATTAAGAACCAAGAACCTCAGTGAGCAGTGAGTATATGTTAATGGTGGCGGGACAGCTCAGAAAAGGAGGCTGCAAATAATTACACTTACGGGAAGAAGTCAATTAGTGCCACAGGCTTATTCATGTACAAACAGTTGAATTTGGTGTGTGCTTTGCTGTGTGTATGGGACCTTGATTGTATTGTACTGTAAACTACAAAGTTGGTGGTTTAAATACACCAGAAACTCATGGAAGAAAGATGAACTGGTCTGCTCTCCTATAAAGATTTACCACCTTGAAAGCCCTGAGCAGGCAGGGTCATATATGAGTTGAAATGGACTTGATGACAGTGAGTTTTGGGTTTTGTTTTTGCTTTGTATATTCCCAAAATACAAAATAAATACAATTTAAAATGAGGTGTGCGTTCATTAAAGGTCATTTTCTCCAACATCTGTGCCTTTCTTCCTCTGACGGGGGGGGGAGGGGGGGACAGATCAGTGGGTTTCCTCACATGCCATCTGAACTGCCCCATTTAAAGTGACCTTTGGCCTCAGGATTATATCTAATGCTTTAAAGAGAGCTTGTTCCACCTTAAGCTAGCTAGGGTAACTTCAATCTGCCTCACCTCATTCCCAAATGGGAATATGGAGGAGAATCCAAGACCCTGGAATGAAGAATTCCCAGATAGTCTGGTTCAGCACCAGAAATATTGAGAAACAACTTCATATTCAGCTTTTTCTTAGAGCTAAATGGAGAGAGGACTCCTAGTGTGGTGCTGTAGATAACGGGACTACAGACCACAAAGGCAGCGGCTCAAACCCACCAGCTGATCTTCAGAAGCCCTGTATTGGGTCGCTATGAGTTGGAACCGACTCGATGGCACGTAAACAACAAATGGAGCGAAGAAGTGGTTAGTGACGTAAAGGCGATGAAGCACTATAATGCAATCATAGCACGTATGTATGTGTATGTATACAGTTAAGATGGCTCACATATATAGTATATATGTGTGTCTCATATGTATACATGTCTTCAAGGATAAGCACTGGACTTCCAACCAACCACAAGGTCGACATTTCAAACCCACCACTGCTCTCAGAAACTGTATAGACTTGTTATGAGTCGGAATGTACTTGATGGCACATTACAGCTTATGTACATACAAGTATCATGTTTATTTTATGTATGTTGCACATACACAAACATGTAGGCTCTATACTGTTCTGCCTTCTGTAGCATACTTACAACTTTTAAAGCAATAATAGACTTTGCGAAGTAGAGGTAAAAATCCATGGTCTCTTCTGATTAGGATGCACTCTTTGACCAGAGCCTAGAGAGCATAGAAGCAAACAACTTATAGAACATCCCATGGAGAGAAAATGCTTCTCTCTTTGCAAGGGCTTCTATTCATGGGCTCTGCACCTTTTAATAGGTAACAGAAAAATAAACTGGTCTTTGAGGGCTGAATGCTTTGTGAAGGTGATCTAAGATATAGTGACATTTAACTCTTGCTGAAATAAACTCTTGGTTAAAACAAAAGAATACTGGAGAAGAGGCTTATATTTTAAACAATAATTTTGTGTCTTGATTTTGACTTCATTTTGCAGAGTAATGTTACTGGTCCTGCTTGGTCCTGGTGGGTCCTGGCAGTGTTGCCTTTAGAACATACGACTCAACTGGCTGTACTGAGCATGACTTCGTTGAAGGAGCGTCTACGTATCATTCAGCGCATACTAGTACTTGCTACGCATAAGATGAATAGTGAAAAATCGGCTAATGCCATCTAGAGAAACCATTGATGTTCTTTTTTTAATGCTGCTGGGGAGCCCTTGTATTTTTGAGCATGGGTTAGTAGCCATCCTATCTTGCTTTGTAAAATGTTTTCAAATGGAACATTAACCAAACATTGATTCCACCTCAGAGGTTAAAGACTTGCTTAGTAGAGTCTGATGATGAATAAGTTTAGCCTGAGGTTTGAAGCCCTTGGGTTAGAAAACAAGGAAGTCTTTTCAAAGTAGATTCTTTTGATTTACGATGTTCACATGAAAGCATGAGAACATAACACATGGTTTACATATGTTTTGGGTTTTGCAAGAAATAACTTTGCTTTCACAGTAAAGTATCTTGCTATGTTCAAAGGGAAATAGTATGTTAATGACTAGACAGTAAAAGGGAAAACACATTTTTTATGTGAAAGCAGATTTTTCAGAGCATAGACTAACATGTCCTCAGTCTTTGTGTGTGTCACTATAAAGTTATTTGAAAAATTTGAGAAATCAAACCATTGTTGGATGAAGAGACTGTAATTAGTTCTTACTCGAAGTAACAGTGAATAGAACTATGTTTAGTATACAGTAGGAAGTCCAAGATGCTGTAAAACTACATGTTGTTACCAAATAAATGCCACAGTATCAGATGTACCTTGAATATAGGATCAAATAAGATTGGTTATAGGTGACTTGGTAGTATAGTTGATTTGAGGATAAATGATTTATACACACTGAAATGTGAATAGAAAAGAGTTAGTACTACATATGCATTGGAGTGTCACATATACAAACCATTTTCATTAGAAATTAGATCCACCAGTAAATTTGAGTTCATCATTTTCTACTAATATATGAAGACATTGAAAAGCTCATGTTGAATGTGGGACTCTTATTGTTGGAAAATATACCAAAAGAGTATATGTAGAAAATGGTGGCTGGTATAGTATAAGGTCAACAATTCAAGTTTTTCTCCAACACCGATCTGAAAATTTTCTTTTGCTAAAGCAAAAGCTTTATAATGATCGCCTGGTAAAAGAAAGATGAGTATAGCCTTCAGCCTTGAATGCAAATTGATACTGTTGATTAATCAGAATAACTTTCCACCTTAGGTACTGAACTGTTCTGACTGACCTAACTGGATGGTTCATGTAGTTGAATTCTGGGTCTTCAAGGGTGGGGATGTTTTTAGCCTTAAAAAAGATACAGACTAGCACATACAGAAAATCACAACTATAAGTTTTGCTTTCATTTAAAGCATGGTTTTTGAGTTTAAAAATAATTATTTCATAATATCAAAAGCTGGTGGTTTTATTAGTCCATCAAAAATTATATTAGAAAGATATTATAAGTTACACTATTTTGTAATTTGTAGAAGTTAAAAAATATGCTATACACTTTTGTAATAGTTACAAAGAGAAAACTTTTTTAGTACCATCCAATCAAAACTTTCGAAATGCCTCACTGATTTTGACTCTCTGGTCTTTCAGAGAGTTTAAGGCAGTTTGGTCAAGTGGTTCTGAAATCTTTCAAAGCATGACCCTGACACAGTCATTTAAAAGAAAATAAAACTACTCTTATACCTGAAGGCCTCCATCAGATGTGAATTATGGAAATATGCATTGAACATTCGTACTTCTTTGGGAAATTTTTTTCTCCCTTAAGTCCATTAATAGTTAAAATTACCATTTCTACAAGGGCTGTTTAATTAACCCCAGTGTGTCATAACTCCTCCAGAACCCTTCCTAATGGTGTGTTTCTGTGTTATATAATTCCCTATCTTTTCTCATAAAGGTTAGAAACTATCCTCTTTTCTCACTCACTCTTCTGTGTAGGAATTCTCTCAGCTCTTGGAACCAGAAGCATTCTCTTCCCATTTCCAGCTATCTCCTTTCAGTCTTCTCATTCTGGATGTTCTTAAGTAAAATCCTATACAATAGTAATGATACTGACTAGAGCAATATGACTCTGTTCTTTATGTGTGTTTTACCAAAGAAAATGTAACTGTGCTCGCCCTGTTTGCTGTGTTCTGTTCACACCTCCGCATAGTGGGAGGTGATTGCTACTTACTGAGCACTTTGATAACATCATTTATCAGGAAGCCCAACCATGGTAATGATAGGCCACAGTCATGTTATAAAGAAGCCTTCTTTTATAAGCTTAAGAAGAAAAAAGAAACCCAGACTCCAGTTTGCTGCAAATCTAGCTAAAGCAGAACAGAACTCCCCCCTGGCTCTTTTGTAGCAGAAAACCTATTCCTTAGGATTTCTCAGAAAATAATGTGAATCTCCCAAAGTCAGGATATTGTAGGCTAATTTTACCTCCAGTGTTCTAACATGAATGCTTTAGTAAAATCAGAGTCTAATTACAGTATGCCAGAGAGTAATCCTCCTTAAATGTGTAGTACTGTTACATACTATCTCATTGATGCTCTAAGTGGGTTGGCTCAGTTATGCTATTCTGTCTGTCTCTCTGAAAGAGGCTGATACCCTGACACATTATATTCTCAGGGAGATCACTAAGGTCTTCTTCCTGATTTTCACAATTATAAGTTAAAATTTCTATTTTCTGTAGTTCCAAATGAGAAAAATAATCAAAAATTTTAAAGGCCTATCAGTAACTAATTTATGTACCAGATACTGTAATGTTGTTCCATCTTCTCTCAACACTGCTTCTCTACAAGAATAAAAGCCACCAAGACTGTTTAAATTATAACTCAGTTCTTCAACATAACAAATTTTCCCACAAGACTTTAGAATCTGCCAGATTTCAATTTTTTAATTTTCTTCAAAAGTTGACAGCTATAACCCAAACACTTTTGTTAACTGGTCTAGCAATTAACCTATCTGTCTCACCACCTCCCTCCCCCCCATACACACACACACACACACACACACACACACACACACACACACACACACACACACTTGGGTAAATACTACTCTTTTAAAAGTAAGCTGGTTATCTAGAAAAATTCAAGAAAAAGAAATGTGAAGGATGTCATAGATTGGAAGAAACATAAATGTGGGTGGTTCATTTAAAGCATGAGGGTTTCTTAGGGCCACAAGGGAAGTGGCAGGAGATCTCCATCTCCCACTTGTTGAGAAGTGGCTGACTGCCCTAAAACAGCACTGTCTGTATGTAAGGGCCCTGTTGCCATGCTGTGGTTAACCAAACTTGAATTCCCAGAGAATTGGGCCTGAATGGGTTAGGTAGGCTGGGTGGTTCTAAATTGTGTAAGAAAACTAACTGAAAGTTGCAAAATAGCATTTCCTATTACTTTCTGATACCAAGGAAAAGGTCATTTCACCTCAGCTCTCTCATCTTAACTTCATCTCAACTATGAAGTATCACTAAAGCCTGCTGAGTCCTTTAAAGCAATCTTCAACATTGGTTTGGCTTTGAGGTGAGTCTGAAAGTTAGAATATTGAAGTTTCATAAAAGAATCAGGCAATTAAAATGCCACCATTGCATTTAGTAGGTTGGGTATGTTGGTTCATTCTAGCATTTCTGCCTAAGAGAACAGTAGGTTTTTCTCTGCACCTTGCAGATCTGGGCCTGCACACTGCTTGTGTGTACAGCAGTGGAACCATCTGTCTTCATTTAGTAAAGGAAAAGCTGCTGTAGCAGAGAGAGCGAGCCCCCTGAGCCTCCTGTGACATTATGATACCCCACCCCTCCCCTCCCAGTACAAAGACAGTTTGTGTAAGATATAGGGCTGGATTGGCAAATGACACCTTTTAAAGACTACCTGTAATCTTTTACTGTTCAGGGATCATTCTAAAACATTGCTTTGTGATTTACTGTAATGTGTTAATGTTAATAGTTTTAAGTTTTACATTTGTTAACAGTTTGATCAGTAACTGACATGGGAAAAAATGCTCAATTCATGTATTTCTTTCAAGTTAGTGGAAATTGTGTTTTGTTGTTGTAAAAGGATTTTACCAGTTAAGAATTTGATGTGGTAAAGAATTTGATGCGGTATTTTATTTTTATTTAAGTAGTAATTGGAAAAAGTAAGTTGATGTAGATAGGTGAAGGTGTTACTCACATTCATCTAATACAGATTATTCATCTGGCCTTCCATTTTCTTTTAAGTTAAAGTCAGGATTCAAGATAAAAGAACAATATTTGGTTTTCCTTATTGCTTAAGGGTTGAAAATTTTATGTATTACTGTAGTGTTTTAATTACCTAAATTTATACTTGGAATAAAGCTAAAAATGTTGTAAATGTTTCTGTTTTTTAAATATTTGTACCAAAATAACATGCTTAGTTTAATAGAAATCAGATAAATCAGTCTGTAGAACATGGAATGATTCCATGTTAGCCTCCTCCTTCCATTATTTTTCCATCACTATTGGTGATTTTGCTATTTAAGGTAAGTCTTATCCAGAGTAGATAAGACGGGTCTTCAAAAAGTTTGCAGAACATGAGAATTAAAACCTAATGAATTTTTTGAAATCCCTGCATATATTTATAGCTTTTGTTGGGGGTGGGGTGCTTCTTAAGGAATACAAAATTACAAATACAGAGTTGGGTATGAAAGTACATATTAGAATTTGAAAATAAATACAGAAATTGGTTTTAATGAACTCTGATGCTTTTTGCAGACTGATTATCTGTTCCTATGACAATTTTTGTTAGAAGTTTCTTAAAGTTTCTTTGAACTTTAGCACACTTTATGACATGTGTAAGTCAGAAAAGAACAGCTATTAGGGTTCCAGTTCATGCATACATTTACTTATTCCAAACAAAAACACATTTATGTCTATGATCAATAGATGGGTGCAGACAAAGTCTGTCAGCAGTTTACTTGATAACTTGTTTGGGTGCCTTCCAAAAATAGAAGTCAAATTAAAACTTTGGCTTCTGAGGGGGATTCTCCTGGGAGAGTTCACTTCAGGGCAGCAAGGTCACCACGGAAGGTTATGAAGACTGTTTTGTGTTCCAAAGGATAATCTTGATAGATTTTCTCAGAGGACACAGGACAGTCACAGGGGACTTGTTAAGAGATTTTAAGAAAATCAAGGAA